AAACACTATTCTGCTTAAATGGTTATGTTTTGATCTGCGCTGTTTTGCTGTTATGCCCTCTTTTATCTCAATCTCCACTCCATTATTTACTTTTTTATTTTTATCCGTTTAATTAAAGGGAAAAAAATAGCAGGATATATTATAGTAACCCACTTTGACTTTCTATTATCTCGATTTGAAGCCCTGCATTACTCTCACCATCTTGTTTTTGATTGATGTTCCCCTATTCTGTTTTGCTGGATAGTATCAGGTTCAAAAGTTTAGGCATCAGCTGTGAAGATAATGAGATAATGAATCTACTTTTGAAGACCTGCAATGTCTCCAATGGTTTGGTTTTGTCGGTTTTGTTCTTTACTGTTTTGTTCAATTGTATTATAACTAATGATATAGGCAGTTCTATTAGAGATAGCAGGAGGCATTATGGTAACCATTGTTGATCACCTTGTATTATGTTTTTACATTATCTATTATGTCCACCCTTTTGACTTGACCGATTCTGGTCTGTTATGTCACACTTGGTTTTACTCTCTTCCAAAAAAGCAATAAGAACCATGGGAGCAATGAAACCCAAAATGTATAATAGTCATTATACAAAAGAGAAGAAAAGGAAGTGCTCTAAACTATATAACTGCATGTATATTTAAGTGTATAAGATAGAAAATGATATCACAAAGTTTTATTGGATCATTGAACAGAACTGTTTGCAGTATCATTGTTGGAATGTCCACTCTACAAGCTTTAATTTTGTGACTTGAACAATTATTTCTAAGATGGCAATATGTAATCCATTAACTAGTGATTTCCTGCTGTTCATTTTTTTCTTCTGTAAATCTGTATAACTTGTACCCTTTCACTGTTTTTTTTTCTTTTCTCCTTAAATAAAATTTAAAAAAAAAACAACAAAAAACCCCAAACATATCAAAACAATGTAAAACCATTTAAGAAAATGACAGTATTATAGGGTATTTAGAATCAACTAACAAAATGAACAATGGTTTCTGTATAATCTCCTTGTCAATAAGTTTTTGCTTATACTATCATACATAATAAAATCCAATAAGATATAACCTGTTTAGACCAATGGAGACAGAAGAACAAAAGCTTGAAGAGACTTCAAAACAAGATGATACTAAATCAGTATTACCTATTAAGACGTCATTTTCTCCAAAATAGCTGTTCCTATCATCCAATCTTCTCTGCCTCATTTCTATTGAGCCCTTTTTTGTCATTAGTTGTTAGTTTGTCTTCTTCATTTTGTTTTCTGCTCCATTCATTGTGGCCTCTCTGCCACTGTTTCTGAATTCTTCGTATTTTTCTTTTTTAGAATATCCTGCAGTATTCTCTGTAGAGTTGAATTGGTGGTTACATATTCCCCCAGTTCCTTTTTATCCTGGAAGCACCTTGTTTTTCCATCAATTTCCAGGGATAGTTGTGCAGGATATATCAGTCTTGGCTGGAGATTATTATCTTTCAAAGCTTGAATTATTTCCCCCCACGCTCTTCATGATTTGATGGTTTGTGCCGAGAAATCTGCTGTAATTCTGATGGGTGTTCCCTTGTAAGTGATCTGTTTCTTGTCTCTGATGGCTTTTAATATTCTGTTCTTGTATTGGATTTCTGGAATTGTAATTATTATATGCCTGGGTTTTGCTCTGTTTGGGTTGTAGGTGGCTGGGGTCCTGTATGCTTCATATAACTGAGTATCTTTACCTTTTGCTAAATTAGGAAAATTCTCCTGGATTATTTCTGTGAGTAGCTTTTGTAGTTGATTTGTTTGTGTTCCTACTTCTTCTTTTATGTTCTTAATTCTTAAGTTACAGATCCTCTTATCATCTAGTCTTTGTATTATTGCTGTTTGTTTCTTTGTTATTTTTAAGAAATTTTTCATCTCATTCTCCCATATTACAAATCTGCCCTTCAGTTCAGATAATCTGTCCTTAGTTTCTTTTAAGCTGTTATGCCAGTTTTTGATAGAGTTGTTAGTTTTTTGGTAATTTCTTGAACCTGCTTCACATATTCTATGCTTTCTCTGTTTTCTCCATCAAACAATTCTCCCCTCTTTTTCTGTTCTTCCATTCCACCATCTGTTTTTTCTTGGGTGGTGCTTAGCATTTCTCTAACTATTCTGCTTATGTCTAGCTTCAGGTCATTAATAACTTCATCCCTGAACTCGTCTATGAGGCTCTGGAGATAGCACTTTATATCTATTGGTGCTGTGTCTGCTATTGCCTCTTTCTCAGAATTGGGGGCCGAGGAGCCTTTCTTGTTGCTGCCTTTTCCCATATTCTTTGTTCCTTATATATGCAAGTGTATATAGGAGGCCCAGCTTCCTTCGCTGTTGGCCACAGTCTGATTGAATTGTGCCAGCTAGGTGTTCCCACCCACCGCAGCGCACCAGGAGGTTGCAGACCGGGCAGCCTTTGCACGGCCCACCCCTCCAGGTCAATCTGCCTTCAGGGCTGGGACCTGGGTTGTATTAGCCTACTGGGTCTCAGCCAGCAGCGTCACGAAGGCTAGGCACTGCTCACCAATCCTGCTTGAGAGGGGCATACGTGACTGAAGTCACTGCAGCACCCTGTTCCCGCAAGTCTGCCCGGTCCCAGAATGTCCTCTGTTGGAGTCTCCTAGACCGTGGAAGAGTCCCAGTTTCTCTCAGTCACCACAGGTCGATGCACGGCTCCCCACCCATCCTGCTTTCAACTCCGTTCACCGATTCCCATTCTCAGAGCTTCCGCGTGTCTCTCTCCCTGCCGAGCAGATGTAGACGCAGCAGCAGCGGCAGCGGGAAACCCAAATCACGGCTTCCAATGGCTCGGGCTCCAGCTTCCACGCTGAGGCTTTTCTGTTCCTGTTATAGCACCAGGATTGCATTCCCAGTTGGTTTCTCTCAGCCCAGTTCGTTCTTGGGTCAGCAGGGCATATCTCCACTTGCTTAGGATTCCTTACTCCGCACCTTTCCTAAATTCTAAGCTGGGTCTTTCAGAGAGCCTCGGTAGCTGCTGCTATGTGTCCGCCATGTTCTCCCGGAAGTCCAGCAATTAAAGGCTTTTAAACAGGCAGAGCCCCTCCTTAGCATACCTTGGTCTCAGAAACCTGACAGGGCCAGGTTTTGTAGGCAGACTGGTTTAAATGGCTGGCTGGACTGGAAGCTCTGGGGGAGGCCCCTGGGGGTAGCCAGGAGAGCAGGCTAGCCCATCCTTAGTCCCACCTGGAGAATGTGCTGCACCTTCAGGAAATGATTAAGTAAACCCTTTGAGGACAAGGCCTCAGGCTGGGTTTGTGCATGCAGAGACCTCTACAGAGGTATTTTGAAGCATTTATAGCAATGGACTTCATGCTGATTGTGAAGTGTTTAAAATTAGCAGCAAGTTCTGCTGGTTGTGTGCAGGAAAAATTGGTCCCCAGGAGACCTGATTATTTCCCCATGACTGCCCTGCTTTTCACAGCTTGATGCTTGAGCCCCGCAGGGGTGGCAAGGGACCAGCCACAACAACAACTACGTTGCTATGGCAGTGAGGAAGGTTCCCTTTGGAGTGCTGAAATTGGCCCTCTGGTGGCCAGTGGGGATAAGGAGGCCTAAGTAATCAGATGAGCAAAGTTACTGCACAGTGGTGTGATTGGCTTCTTTCTTTTGGGGATCCTGGGAATTGAACCCAGGAAGCGCAGTGTTACCTATTTTTATTTTTAGATGAGGTCTAGTTAAGTTGGCCAGTCTGGTCTCAAACTTGTAACCCTCCTGCCTCAGCCTCATGAATAGCTGGGATTGCAGGTGTGTGCTGTGCCACCCACTGTTGCCCACTCTAACTGGGTTTCTTTTACATTTTTACTTGGAGGAGAGGAGGAGCTGGAAATCGACTCTACCACTCCTGTACCCCTAGTGGTTTTGATTTGTTGAGGCTAGGTTTCACTGCAGTCGAGGTTGGCCTTGGACTTTTGGTCCTCCTGCCTCAGGCTTCCCAGGAACTGGGATTTCGGGCATGTACTGCTGCATGCGGGCGGGTTCATTCTCACGCCTGGATTATGAAGGGTGATCCCTGATGTGACGAGCACAGTTGAAGACCTTTTTCCTCCCGCCCCTGGCTGACCAGCGCCTGCTCATCTTCAGGCCCGAGGCCCCCAGACCTCAGCATTAATCCCCACCTGCTCCCCACCTGCTCCCTGTCACTCCGCCTTCCTCATGGGGATGCCACAGTTCCCTGGCCCAGTCTCAGTCACCAGGGCTTCCCAGGTGGGCGCAGGATCAGAAGAGTCCACAGTTCAGCAGCGCGTTTCCTACCTCTCCCTCCCAGACCTTCACAGGTCCACGTGTGTCAAGCCAAACCCTAGCGGTCTCCTGGAAACCCTTCTGAGTGGCGTGGAGGGTGGCAAATGTCAAATCTGTGGGTTCTTTGTGGAAGGGGTTAGACACAAGTATGGAAACAATGATCAAGTAAAGGGCTAGTGGGCACTTAGTGGGTGGGCAGTCTCCTGCTTTCAGTGTCTTCTTTTAGCTTGGTGACTGCCTGAGGGCTGTTCTTTTAGCTTGGTGACCGCCTAAGGGCTGTGCTGGGACTCTGATGTGTGTCGTACCCAAGGCGGCTGTGGTATGCACGCCATGGGCAGCCTGGCCCTGGGGCGCCAGCAATGCTGTGCAGTGCAGCCCTCTGAGCACTGCCCTGGAGCCCCCAGAGAAGGGTGCTCACTGTCCCTTCCCAATGGGCTTCCCCTCACCCTCGCCCTTTCCTCTCCTCAGCTGTAACTGGCTTCAATAGTGGTCAGGGAAGTCCTGTCACACATGCCAACAGGTCCAGGCCAACACTGGGCTGACTCGTGCAGTGACCAGGTGGCAGATGCCCTTCCCTCACTTGTCCCTTTGGTTGTACCCGCTGCCTCCTGGGCAAGCACTCCTCCAGGCTGTCCTCCCCACCCTCAGTGCCTGCCCTAGAGCCTGTGGGGGAGTCCACCCTCTCTCTCCTTGGCATCTGGAAAAACACACGTGTTGTGCCCTCTGCTCTGTGTAGCTCAGCCAATGCCACCCCTGAATTCGAAGGCCGCGGAGGCGACGACCTGGGCACAGAGATTGCCAATACCCTCTACCGGATATTCAACAACAGGAGCAGCGTGGACCTGAAATCCCTGTGCATCAGCCCCCGGGAGCATTGCTGGGTCCTCTATGTGGACGTGCTGGTGAGTGTCATGCTGCTGGCTTTGAGGACTCATGGCCGTTTCCCTCCCTGCTTTCCCCTCTTTTTGGCCTCCGAGGGGGGTCCCTGGGCTGTAGGTGGCCCCTGTAATAATTCTGTGAAGATCCCTGCAACATGATACAAATAGCACGCATGCAGTGCCATCCTGCAGTGACCACATAGCTCTTTTGTGGTTCCTCTGTGAGGGGCACTGTGATGGGCCTCCAGAAAGTGAGGAAACCAAGACCCAAAGAGATCTGGTGTCTGGCCTAAGGCCTCAGCTCCTGAGCAGTGCCCTGGGGTCAGACCAGCTCTGATGCCCTCACTGTGCCACAGCATCCAGTGAGCCAGAGGTGGATAAGACCCCCTCCCCAGTGGGCCCTGAGGCCGTGACCCCTGCTGCAGGTGAGGCCTCCGGGGCCCTTTTCCATTTGGGGTACACGGACATCCTGCCAATGGACTGGGAATCTCAGCCATCAGTGATAGAGATGTCTTTGTGTGTGTGTGTGTGTGTGTGTGTGTGCTGGGGCCTTGCAATTGCCAGGCAAGCACTTGCACCTCTGACCTGTATCCCTGGCCCAGCAATACAGATGCAGAGCAGCGCACCTTTTCCAGAGTTCCAGGGCCACTGGGCAGTCATAACACACAGCCGGTGACTCTGCGCCCCTGGAAGAGCGGAGTGGGGGGCAGGGGAGCGGGCAGACTCAGGCTTGGCATCAGGGCTGAGGCTCTCCACTCAGCACAGCTGTGGAAGTTAGAGTTTGTGTGGGACATGGCTACAGCATGGGCTGATCTTGGGGGAGTTTGGGGGCTCCTGAGGCACCTTTCCCTGTGTAGGAAGCCCTGCCCCTTTTCACTGCAGCCTTTCTATAGGGCTGGGGGCACAGGGATGGAACAGAAGCGCAAAAGTACAGGAAAATCCCACGGACCCTCCATAGCTGTGTTCACCGCCTTTCTTTCTGCATGTGACGTCTCCCTTCACACTGGATGTTCGGGCTGGCATCTCGGAGGAGGGGGAAGGCCAGGACGGTGCCTTCCTTCACCCTGTGCTCGAGCACTCCTGCCCAGTGGTGGCTGCTGTGACCTCAGACTTCACAACACCAGACACTGGGTCTCAGGGTCATGCGGGTCGCATGTGCAGAGGGAGGCACCTGCTGAGATGTGTGCTGCTCGAGCAGCTCTGTCCTGTGAATGTGTGCGGGGCCTCTGTTCAAGTTGGGCCTGTCACTGTAGTCATGTACACTGGTGCTCAGCGTCGTGAGCTAATCTTCCCTCTGCCCTGTCTCCCTCAGCTGCTGGAGTGCGGTGGGAACTTGTTCGATGCCATCTCGGTCGCTGTGAAGGCTGCGCTGTTCAACACGAGGTAGGTTCTCTTGTGTTGCAGGGAGCCTCGGGAGCAGCCTCAGTGCCCAGCGGGACCTGGAGCACACAGTAGAGGGTGGCCTGACATTGAAAAGGGTGAGATCTGCCTCATGTTAAACTCTAGAAAAGAGACTGCCTCAGTTAAAACTAAACACATGGCTGGGCGTAGTGCTCACACCAGTCATCCCAGCACTTGAGAGGCTGAGGCAGGAGGATCAAGGCTGAGACAGGAGGGTCCCCGTGAGTTTGAGGCCAGCGTAGGGTAGTGAGTTCAAGGCCAGCCTGGACTACATCATGAGACCCTGTCTCAAATACAGACATAGATTTCTGTGTTTATTTTTGTATTGTTTTCATTAGTGACCATGTGTTAAGTAGAAAAGTACCAGACAACTGCAGGGAAGAAAAAAGGGGAGATGCCAACCACAGGCCGGCTGTTCCCGGCCAGCGCCCCAGGGGGGATTTTTAACTTGATGTCTCTGTCACCGTGAACAGTGCCTGGCTCCAGGCTGGTTTGGGGAGGCAGTTCCTGCTCCCCAGGCAGGCCGTGGGGGCCCGCCGAGGCTGAGTTTGTTTGGACTCTGGTCATGTAGCTATCTGTCTTCCTCCGACGGGAGAGGAGTGCATAGCAGTTGAAAGTAAATACATTTGCCTTTGTGTGTGTATGTTTGTATATGTGTGCGTGTGTTTATGTGTGTATGTGAGAGAGAGAATTTCTGATCCACAGGGAGCTTACAGAGTGCAGGCTCGGGCAGTAGCAAGCAGGTTAAGAAGCAGGTGGGGATGGGGCCAGAGGAGGCGGGCAAGCACGGGAGCCGAGTGCTCCATTCCTCCCCACATCTTCCTCACGGGAAAGCTGGGCGCCCTCTGTGACCCGGAGTTAGGGATTCAGGGTCACACAGCACAGTGAGATAAAGCCGGTAATTCCTTGTCATCTTCACGTCCTGCTTTATGCCTGTGTGTCATTTTACCTTTGGTAATCTTTATGTTATTTTCACATGTGTCCCTAAGTTGCCCTTAAGGTCATGCCCTCGCTCATGTCCTGGACAGTCAAATATGTCGGGATTGTGGACGTCCTTGGGGAACTTAGGCTGCCCGTGTGGTTTGAAACAAGTGTGCTCGCGCACACACACACACACACATACACGCACACACATACACGCACACACATGCACATACACGGAGTTAAACCCACCTTCACGAGAAGCTGCGGGCTGGGGTGTGCTGAGCTGAGGGCCGTGTCCCCACACCCCTGGCTGAGCCCATTTAAGATGTGGGTGGCACTCGCCCAAGGCCAGCACCCCGAGAGCTTATACACTATGTCCCACTGCAGCAGGAGTGGAGCAGACTGCCTGGATTTGACACCTTTAGCCTGTGGCCGGGTCTCACACACACTAGGCAGAGGGAGGGCCAAGAGGAGGGAGGGCCGGGCAGGCTGAACGTCAGCATGGAACACGCAGCTGCCTGCACTGGGGCTCCGGCCCAGCCTGTGTGTTACTCTGCACTTAGGACAGGAATGACCGGGGCTGGGATGGACCAGGACTGGTGTGACACAGCCTCCTTTGCCCCAGGAGAATTTCCATGCCTGTTTCCCATCCTGAGAGAGGCAGTACATTTCTCCTGCCGGTCGTGGAGGTTTTAATGGTGTTTCTGCTCCCAGGATCCCAAAGGTTCGCGTACTGGAGGACGAGGAGGGTGCGAAGGACATTGAGCTGTCCGACGACCCTTATGACTGCATGCAGCTCAGTGTGGAGAATGTGCCCTGCATCGTCACCCTGTGCAAGGTGCGGCTTGCATCCTTCAACCTCCCCAGCTGTTGGGATGGGGTTACGGTGCTTACAGTGCAAGCCCAGACCCAGGGACTGGTTTAATGGGGAAAGGTCCCTGTAGCTGCTGCTTTGTTCGCTCCTCAGCCCTTTCCCGTGGCACTCCGGCTGCCTCCTTTGATCCCCTTTGCTCCGTGCCAATGTGGTTGCTGAGGAATGTGCTAGGGCAGGGAACAGCGGCCCAGTCTGTGGCCCAAGGTGTTGGACCGGGTCCTGGGTGGCTGACTGTCACAGGGCCCAGGGACCCTGCAGCCTGATTTTGGCTGAGCCACTTGTACCAGCCCAACATGGACACACAGCTGATACCACCTGGGGCCTTTCACACACATATGGCCAGGTGTCACTCCACTTCGATCACCTTGTCGCCTGGAGTGCATGACTCCTTGGGTGCTTGGGGCCCAGCAACCTACCTGTACTTGGCTCGCTTTCAAACTGGTCCCTCCGCAGGCCGTCGGGATGCACCACTGCAGTGAGCGGGGCATCAGGTGGCCACACATACGACTTCCTGCCCCATACCCCTCTGCTGCAAAGCCTGTGGCCCCCAACCCCCACGCCCTTGCCTAGTGGCCTGTGATAGAAACATCCCGCACCCTTTTGAGTGCTGGTCAGTAGGCAGAGCAGCCTGAGAGGAAGTTGTGAACGAGCAGCACGAGTGGGGGCCTCTGCCTGCCATTGATATCCCTGCCAGCAGGCCAGAGGGCAGGACCGGGGTGCACAGACCTCCCTCCCTCCACAGATCGGCTGCCGGCATGTGGTGGATGCTACCCTCCAGGAGGAGGCCTGCTCCCTAGCCAGCCTGCTGGTGTCGGTCACCAGTGAGGGGGTGGTGACGTGCGTGAGGAAGGTGGGGAAGGGCAGCCTGGACCCCGAAAGCATCTTCGAGATGATGGAGGTGAGATGGACTGTCACCCTTGGGGACCTCCCCCAGCTCCACGCTGGGGAGCAGGCAGTGACCTGGCCAGGGAGTGGGGCTCGGGAGCAGGGAGCAGGTACAGCAAATGCCTGCCCCCTCCAGACCCCAGGTTGCTGCATCTCTGTGAGGGCATTAGAAGTCACCAGCTGCTCTCAGGTCACAGGATGTCATGATTTAGTGGGCAGTTGACTCCTTGGCTTCCTGCTTCCTGTCCCACAGAGGGAGACAAAAGTGGCACAAGGATTGAAAGGCGACTATTTCCCCACTTCTGTCTGCTCTAGAAGGCTGGCGTGGAGCCCAGCTGAGGCCAAGAGCCGGGATGAGCATAATGGGCTGTGCAGGTGCCGTGGGCCTCCATCCCACGTGCTCGTGGATCCCTTTCCCTCTCTTGCCTGGAAGCCCCAGGAAGGGTCCTGGCTGCCCATTGGCCTCCCCAGATTGTCCTCCCACGCAGCCACCTTGGCTTGCTAGCTGAGTTGCAGGAGCAGAGTGGGAACTGATCACTTATTCCCACTGGTGACCACCATGTCCCCAGGCATGCCCTGCAGCCACTGCATAGCCAAGCGCTGGTCACTGGGCACAGTGGGTGAGCCAGCTGTCCCAGCAGCAGTGGGGACCAAGAGTCTGCTGGTGGGCGCTGGCAGTGCAGGGGTGTCTCCTGGTCTACGGGAGCTCACAGCTTGTCTCTCCCCTTCTCTTGTCCTGCAGACCGGCAAGCGCGTGGGCAAGGTGCTGCATGCCTCACTGAGGGACGTGCTGCGCAAGGAGGAGAGCCTGGGGCCCACACGGCCGAAGGTGGGCTTCCTGGGATGACCAGCGCCCATCCTCTGTGGTGGCCTCTTCATTCCCTTCCTCTCCTTCTGGAGATAGGGTCTCGAGCTGTGTCCTCCAGGCTGGTCTCGAACTCCTGGACTCCTGCCCGTCTCCCCCATGGGTTGCTGGCACGAGAAGTGTGTGCACCGCACCCCACTTTCCTTTTCCTCAGGAACTGCTTTGTATATATTTTCTTAGTGTGAATCTGAAATTAAAGTCTGTTTTCTGGCCTGCTGCCCTGTGGCTCAGGTTCTTCAGCCAGGCTGGGGCGCCAATGCCTCCTGGATGAGCCCTGGGAGGGACCTGCGGGAAGGGGCCCCTGGGAGGTGCATGCCTGCGCTTGGGAAGGTTTCTCTCCACAGAGCCTTCGAGGTCAGGGTGCACAGAGGAGTCCATGAGCTTGTGCGTGGGGCCGGAGGGGGAGGGGGCCGGCGCTCAGCGACTTGGCGCCTCTTTGCTTCTAACCCTTCCTTCCTGGAGCTCGGGCGGAGCCCCCTCATCAGCCCTCAGCCAGGCTTATCCCTCCGGTTTGGAAATGGCTTTGTGTTGTATAACTGCTCCCTGGGGCTTCCTGAGATTTCATTTCTCAGATCTGTGGACACTGCCATTTGATTACTCAGCCTGCTTTGCACCAGGGGGAAGGGCAGGGAGGGCAGGCTTCAAGCCTCTGTTCTGCTCTTCCTGGGTAGAGTGGGGCTTGCTTCTCCAAGTGGAGCTGAAACTCCTACATGGATTTCAAGGACCTGGGAGGAGCTGACTCTTGGGAGAGGGTCTCTGTCCCAAGTGCCCCTCAGACAGGCAGGAAGGCATCAGGCCTCATCCTGGTGGGAAAGGCAGCGAGGGCAGAGCCCTGCCTGGTGCAGGCAGCCCCGTCCCTGTGGAGAGAAGTTTCTGCCCTGTCGCATGCACCATCTGGGTTGTCACCTCCCCTTTTCTATTTCCAATGAGCATCCTCTGGCACCAGGACACTGTCCCCGCTGTCTGCCCACCAGGAGCCTGGGACACTGGCCATACCAAGGTGAGGTGTTGTTCGGGCCCAAAGCGTAGAAGCTGTGGGCCTGGACAGCCACTGTCAGGTGACTAGGGTACCACAGAATGGGGGCTTCCTCCATCACAGCTGGGCTCAGCCGGGCTGCCCCTTGGGGCCAAGGGAGCACTGGAGACAGAGCCCGGGGGTGGGGGTGTCCTGCTGGACATGGCAGGACCGTGGCTGTCTCTGATGGCCTTGAGGTAAACATTTCAGGGAGGAGCACAGCGCTCTGGGAGCTCACAGTTCTGTGATCCCAGCTCCCAAGAATTCAAGCCTGCAAACTTAGGGGTCAGCAGCTGCCTGTGCCCTGCTCACTGACGGGGGTGATCTCACATAGGGCCGGCCTACAAGTATGGATCCAGACCACAATAGACCAAACCCTTGGGAGCGTCCATGGCCGTGGACCCAGGCGCTCTGCTTCTGGGAATGTAAGCAAAATGAATATGGGAGTACAACGGGAAGCAAGAGTGCCCATGCAGGGATGTTCATGGCCATGTGGGAGCACTTGTCTGGGGAAGTGGCCTCTTGCATGGCAACTGTGCCCCCAGGCCTACTCCCCACTCCCCGCTCCCCGCACCTCCGTGCACCCAGTGTGCGTGGCCCAGGGGACTCCATGTCTCCTGATGACAGCACTGCAGAGGCTCCTGCACAGAAGTGCTGCACTGCTACCAGGGTCCAGGTCTCTAACTGTGCCGAGGCAACCAGGCACCAGGACTAGGGACAGGATTGAGCCTGTGATGCCCCCTGCCCTCCTCACCCCTGCCCTCTGTGCCCCATTGGCCACCTCCCTGAGATCCCGCAGCAGGTCAGTCTTGGACTCTGCCACACTAAGTATCAGCCCTCAGTGCGGTCAGCAGATGGCACACTCACTGCCACAGGTGCCATGACCGGGAAGGGAGGACCAGGCCTCCTGTTGCACTGTCACCTGGCGAGAGGGAAAGGGGCACAAGCCTGTGGTGAGGGGCATGGAGGGTTAAAAACTGGTGGTCAGCTTAACAGCAGAGGAACTGAATCAGCATGCTGCTGAGTGTGGACAGCCCTGAGGGCTGCTGCCAGCATAGAAGGGAGACCTGGAGAGGGAATAGCCTGTGGGCTCTCTTAAGTGTTGTTGTTTGGAGTTGTGTGTTCTCCTGGAGGAGCTTGTCATGCTGGCCCCCCTGATGTGAACTCGGCTGTGGAGGAGCGGAGCTCGGGACCTTGACACTAAGAATGGCTGCGGTTCGTTTGGGGGGAGCTCTGGTCCTTACTCTGAGCATCGCTTCCTGGCTCTGGAGGAGAAGATGTGTGCTGTTCAGTCTCCAGGGCAAGCTTGTCACCCTTGCGCCTTGATACGAACTCAGCTATTCTCATCGTCGGAGAACTTGGGACTTCACTGTCACTCAGGATGGCTGTGGCACTGTTTGGGGGAGCCCTGGTCTTACCTTGAGCATTGCTTCCTGGCTCCAGTGCAGATTCCTCAGCCTGCTGGCACAGATCCTTCACCCCACTGTTCAGACTTTCTGGCTTCCAGTGCAGATCCTTGATACAGACTTGTGTGAGACATTGTCGTGGGCTCTGGGTCTCCAGCTGGACTCATGCAGGACATTGCCATGGGATCCAGACCCTCAGCTGGATTCTCTGAGTCTTTAGTGTGTGGACAGATTTCCTGCACTTTCTTGTGTTTGACTCCTCGAGTGACCATTATATATAATACTGTAAGTCATGTGTCCCGTATGTGATTATTTTCCTTGCAACCCCAGACTACAATAAGGGATCTGCCTTGTGAAGTGTGGAGTCCATGAAGCGAGCAGCACTGGAGCATTGCTGGCTCCTATGAGCTGCCTTTGAGGAGTGGCTGGCCTGGTACCTGGTTCTTGTAGCAAGCAGGAGGAACCAGATGGCCCACCTGATGCCGCAGAGACCGGCCTGGAGCTGGGGAAGGGACAGCCTAGAGTGCCCGCCCAAGGTTTGCTGGTACCCGGGAACCGGAAGGTGCAGTCCCTGCCTGGGTCCTTTACCAAAGTCAAAGGCAGCCATCGAGAAAGACAGGGGCAGAGAGCTAAAGACAGGACGTTGGTCGTCCTTCCTTTTCTCTGAAACTTGGAGTAGGCAGAGGCAGCACCACCTTCCTTTTTTAGGGAAAGCAGCCACCCCTCTCCCAGAGACCAGGCCTGAGGCGGAAGCTGCAGAGGTGATGCTGGCCAGCAATGGCCTCCTGCCCCTCCTTTCAGACCAGTGACTGGGGCCTGATGGACTTCGTCCTGCAGAGAAGTGCAGTTCCTGCTGAGGGAGAAGTCACATGGTAAGGCACTCCTTCCGGGGACTCCTCCCATCCTTCCCGCCATCTACTGCAGCTCGGCAGTCCTCTTTCCTGAGGGTCTTTAGTTGTGCTGTCCTGGCTTCCTTGAGCTGATTCAAGTGTTGTTGGGGAGGAGCCAGAAGTAGTTCCTCCCGTTCTAGCCCTTTGTGCGGGATGAAGTCTTTTGACTGAGACAAATCAATGCAATACATCCTTAATTCACATTAACAAAATGTTTGGAAAGCAAATCTCCTAAATGGAAGGATGGTGGAACGTGTGCTGTCTGGTCTCTGTTTTATGTTACAGTGAAGTCACAAGGCCTTGGTGCTGGGTTCTTTATGTTAAGGAAATCACGCTTCTTGGGCCTGGTGCATAGAAAATAGCAGGTAGCCGAAAATGCTAGTAAACTGTGTGTGCAACTAAGCTAAGTTTGGAATGGATCAAAGATCTAGATATTAGAAAAAAGACAAAACAAAAAACAAACCAGAAACACTAAATATGCTGGAAGGTAGAACAGGTAAAACTCTTGAAGACGCTGGTGTAGGCTAAGACTTTATGAACAAAACTCTGATTGCACAGGAACTGTCACAAAGAATCAACAACTGGGATCTCACCCTACTGGAAAGCTTTTGCACAGCAAGAGAAATCACCAACAGAGTGAAGAGACAATCCACAGTGTGGGAGAAAATGTTTGCCAGCTGTTCCTCAAAGGATTGCTATCGAGAACATATAAACAACTCAAAAATATCAGTCCTCCCAGATTCAAAGACCCAGTTCAAAAATGGGCATCGGAGATGAGTACATACTTCTCAGGTAAAGAAATACAGACAGCACATAAATATGTGAAAAAGTGTTCAACATCAGTGGTTATTCAGGAGATGCAAATTAAAACAACACAGATTTCACCACATCTCAGAAAGAATGGCTAATATTAAGAAATAAACCAGTAACAAATGCTGGAGGGGCTGTGGGGAAAAAACCCTTCTCCACTGTTGGTGGGAATGCAAACTGGTGTAGCCACTGTGGAAATCAGTGTGGAGATTCCTCAAAAACTAGAATTAGAGACCCTAGTCAACCCAGCTGTTCCCCTTCTGAGTATCTTCCCAGAAGAACTAAAAACATCATACCACAGTAATGTATGTGCTCCCATGTTTACAGCAGCACAGTTTGTAATAGCCAGATCTTGGAAATAACCTGAGTGTCCATCAACTGAGGAATGGATAAAGAAGATGTGATAAAACAAAAAATGGCTGGGATGCAGCTCAGTGGCAAGGTGTCTGCTTGGCAAGCACAAGTTCAATCGCCGGTACCAAAAAACAATGTGGCATTTTTATATGATGGAGTACTACTCAGCCATGAAAGAAGGATAAACTGGAGACTTTTGTAGGTAAATGGATGCAACTTGAGACCATGCTCATAAGTAAAGTGAATCAGACTCGCATATGTAAACATCGTATTGTCTCACTAGTGTGAGAAACTGAGAAAAAAAATATATATGTATAGTTAAGATAGCTATACTGTCGATTTCTCTGAGCTCACTGCAGAGAAAGGTTTGTGCTCATATTGTTTGGTCAATGGAATGCAGATGTCTTGTGCTTTGAGTAACTGATTTGAAGATAACAATATGCAATGTATATATCACTGTTAATGTATATAACAGTGGTTATATATATATACACTGTTATTCCCTAATTATTGTGTGGTAAAAGTTTTATTTTCTCTTTAAAATAAAATAGATTTGAAAAAAACAAGAAACAAAACAAAACCGGTCTGCAGGAGGGTGGGCTGCGAGCCCGTGAAGGTACAGGGACCATGTGCTGGGGGTGCTCTGAGGTCTCCCCTTTGAGCCTTGGGCCTGGTGCCCACTCATACCCAGTGTCCCCAGCCCGGAGGGAGGCCCATGTTTTGGAGGGCTGTGCATGTTGGAGGCGCGCACGCTGCCCTCGCTTCAGCCTGCTTGCTGAGTAACTGGCAGAGCTGCCAGCTGGGAATGGGGCCTGGGTGACAGGGCTCTGCCCACCACGGCAGGCAGTCCTGCTGCTTCCTGCAACGGCATTTCCACCAAGGGAAGGGTGCCGCGCAGACTTCTGGGAGGGAGGTGTCTCCAGCTGGGCCATGCAGAAGAAAATGCCACCTCCAAGCAGGTGGCTTTGAAGAGCAGTTCCTGGCCTGCTGCTGCACCCACTGGCAGGACCTGATCCTGGGCCTTGGGGTGACCAGAGCTAGCTCTTTGGTCATAATGTCGGGGGGGGGGTGCGGTGGATATGGGGCAGCAGTGCACCCCAGCCAGAAGCTGGTAGACGGAAGTAACAGCAGGTCCCCCAGATGCCCCGTCAGCCGCCCCCACACCAGCACCTGTCATCCTCCCAGGCGGGGTGTGGAGGGCCTTGCTGCAGTGGTGGCTGTCCATAACAAGGTTGTGTCCCAGCAGGATGTGTGGGACATGGCAGATGCCCTTCCGGCCCCTGCTGCTGAAAACTCTGGGTGCATTCAGCCTTCCTGTCTCGGAGCATTTTGAGCTCTCTGGCGTGGCCTCAAGTTCCAGTGACAGGTGAGACAAGGCACACACTGTCACCAGCTGCTTCCTCCTGGGAGCACGGCGTGTGCAGATTGGGATGAGGATTTAGGACTAAGCTGGGTACGCAAGGCACAGAGGGGCTCCCGCCAAGCACCCCGGCGGGGTTACACTGCGACCCACAGCAGCTGAAGTGTCCAGGACCAAGGCCCATCTCCTCTTCGAGCTGGGGCTGTGCGGCCACTGGAAATGCAGAGCTGGCCTGAGCCTGCCTGTGTGTTTTCCCAGAAGTCCAGACTCCAGTGGCTCCCTGTTCTCAGGAGAGGAAGGGACAGGGTGGGCACAGGCCATTGTACTCCCTGGTGCCAGGGACAGTGTGACTACTCACGCTGACCTCTTCTTTCCCAGGGCTTTGTGGAATCCGGCTTCCTCCCTGTGTGACTTCCATCTGTCTTAAAAGAATCTGTGTGTAGTGGGACAGAGGCCGTCACCCCATTTTAGAGCCTGAGTCTTGAATCACTTGCCCAGGGGACACAAGTGTCAGGTGTCTTGGAACTCAGAACTCCTGGTTCTGCTTCTCCGGTTGTGGGGGCAGAGGGTTGAGACAGCATCTCACTGTGTGGCCCACGCTGGCCTTGAATTCATGGTGATCTTCCTGCCTTGACCTCCCAAGTGCTGGGATTGCAAGCGTGGCCACCACCCCAGCCACCACCGCTGCTGACCTGTAAGGACAAGATACCGGGGAATGTGAGCCCTGGCAAACGAAGCCCTGGCTGGTGTCTTGCTGTCCCTGAGGCCTCCCTAATGCAGATCTTTTCATGGAGACCAGCTGAGCTCAGCAAGATGAATTTCCAAGCAACAGTCCCCAAGGTCAAGGTTCCGGGCCCCTCGGGCTTGGTTTGATGCTGACACTGCCGGTCCAGTGTTCTTGGAGCTGTGCACCGGGATGTGGAAATGATCACCCCATGGGCCAGGCCTGGGCCAGCGGCGTGACAGGAAACATCTGTGTGGGAGCGGATGGCTCTGAGTCGCCAGAGCTTTGGTGCTGCGAGGGTGATGGGGTGGAGGCCCAGGGCCTCCAACAGCTGAGGATCAGAAAAGCAAAAGCAGAACACTTGAGCCTTTTTAAATCCCTGCTGGCTCATCTGATCCGCTGCCTCCTTGCCCGTCCCTAAGGTTGTCCTTTGTGCAGGGAGGGCGGTGTCACAAGCCCACACCTCAGGGGACATTTCCTCTCCTTTCCAACCCTCCCCGGACATGTGCAGCCTGGGGTGGTGGGTCTCGAGGAGAGTGACGTCCACAGGGGTCCCCAGGGCCATTCTGGCCCTGCTGCTTGATTAGACCAGGGGACCTGAGTTTAGTAGCTGTGAGTGGCATGCTGGTGTCCAGGGGACCATAGCTGCTCCTCCACTTCCAGGATTGAAGTCTCATCTGCCAGGTGGCCCAGGCCCTTGCAAGATCCACTCTTCCAGGGGGTGGTGCCCTGTCATCTTCTCATCCATTGTGCAGATCTGACACCTGGTTGGGCTTGGGTACCAGTGACAGGTGAGACGAAGCACACACTGTGTTACCAGCTGCTTCCTCCCAGGAGCATGGCGTGTGCAGATTGGGATGAGGATTTAGGACTAAGCTGGGTACGCAAGGCACAGAGGGGCTCCCGCCAAGCACCCTGGCGGGGTTACACTGCAACCCACAGCAGCTGAAGTGTCCAGGGCCAAGGCCCATCTCCTCTTCGAGCTGGGGCTGTGCGGCCACTGGAAATGCAGAGCTGGCCTGAGCCTGCCTGTGTGTTCTCCCAGAAGTCCAGACTCCAATGGCTCCCTCCATGGGCTGTAAAGGATCAGAAACTACCCCCAGCACAGGCACACAGTCCAGTTGCTTACTGGCAGGGTTAGGCTAACCCTGCTAACCTCAGACCGGACCCTCAGCCCCACCCCAGACCCTCAGCGCCGAGCCCCTTGGGCCATGAGCTCGTCTCCTCATCCCGTGGAATGGCTCTCATCTTGCTCTTTCAGGTCAATCCCTGGTCCTGCTGCTGCCCCTGGTGTCCTGCTCAAGTCTCCGTGTAGGACATCGGGGACCTGCACAGGACACAGCCTGGTGACGCTGTGTCTCCAGCTTTCTGTTTCCTCATCTCTGCTGGGGCCCAGGCGCTAGCATTCTGTCGTCTTCACTGAGTGATGAGCCTCGCTTCTGTGTCCCCACCAGCCGCCCTGTCATCACCTCTCCTCAGCCCTGCCCATGTCTGCCCTGTCCGCCCTGCCCCTACCACCTCAGGCTGCTTCCTGTCTCGGCCTGGGCCCTTCGAGGCCCCCGCAGAGGGCATTAAGCCCCTGCCTCGGGTCCTCTGGACCTGGGTGCCTGGAGGAAGCATGAGGGACTGGCAGGGCCAGCAGCTCCAGGTGTGTCCTGAGCCAGCTAAGCCCTCTTGGTCTCCCAGTGATAGGACACAGAGAGCCTACAGGGGTCACAGTGTCCTGAGTCATCTCATGGAGCTTTTCCGGGGACGCCTTCTCCAGCACACCTGGGACACAGCCTCCACCATCAAGCAGACCCCAAGAAGCTTAGGCTGTGGCTGCCCTGTACCAGGAAAGCACCCTCCTCCCGGCTTCCTGTCCCCACCACCAGATCAGGCCCAGGTGGCAAGCTGGGGGGATGAAGGCTAGGGAAGGGGTTGGGGGAGAGGAGGAAGGAGGGAAAAAAGGGAGAAGAAGGAGAAAGAGGAATAAGAGGAGGAGGAGGAAGAAGAAGCCATCGCTACTGCCCAGAGTTTTAGGAACAAGGTCCTGTGGATTATGTGTCAGGCTGGGCCCAGTTGGGCTACAAACCCTCCATCCTGAGCCAGGGAAGGGTGGCTCTCAAGGTCAGGGCTGTCCTCAGGCCCTGGTCCCCTTGTCCCCACCAGGGTCTCTCCTGAGAGCTGCAGACCAGAACTGGCCCCAGGTGCCCTCAAGCTAGGGAGGCTGAGTGGCAGGGCCACCGTGTCTTTGTGAGCAACCTCGGGCTCACAGGTGACCCTCCAAGGCCACCAGGCACCAGGCTCCCGGCTCCCCAGCGACGGTGGAGAAGGGGACTGAGGACAGCTGCTGTGGGTGTCAGACGCACAGCAACTCAGCCAACATTCTGGGTGCGTGGCTTCCTCTTTCACCGTGACTGCCCCTGGCCTTGGCCCTGTGCCCCATGGAGGTGTCCCATCCTTCTTTAAGTGTCCCTTCCCTGTCTGCAAAGCAGCCTATTTTGCCTCATTTTCTGGCTCCTTGGAACCGGCCATGGCCCACAGGTGCTTGGTTCTTCAGGAAAGTTACATTTGGAGCCAGGATGCGGGGCCCAGGTGCACCGGGGCCTCCCTGGGATGGCTGGGACCGAGGCCCTCGACACTGCCCATGGGAGTGTGGGTGGGGGTCCTCTGGGGCTCCAGCTGCCCACAGGCTGCAACCTGTTCTGCATGCATCAGAGCCCCACCTCTGACCCAGGACCCTCTGTCCAGGTCAGGTCTGTGGGACAGGTGCCCTGTAGGTGGCCATTCCCACTCTCAACACCCTGGGAACAGTCCCCTCCCTTGGGCTCTGGTATTCCCCGGGAACACTGCTTCCCTATGGTGGGCTCAGGCTGCACATGGGACCCAGGGACAGAGATGGTCTCCCTGCGCCTCTCTGACAGCAGCCTGTGGCCCCCACCTCTCCTCATGACTGCCTCCGAGCCCTGACCCCCTCTCTGTAAATGGGAATGCTCACAGTGTCAGTGTGAGGCCACGGCAGGCAGTGATAGTGGACCCAGCCCCACGCCTGCTCTGGGGGCGCCTGTTCAATGGACAGCTCTTAGAAGGCAGGGCTAGCAGGTGAGGGGGCAGCAGATAGGAGGCTGAGGCAGGAGGATCACCCCAGGTTAGAGGCCAGCCTGGGCTGCAGAGAAAGACCCTGCCTCAAAAGACACAAAAGAAGCAGAACTCAGCAGGCAGGCGTGTTCCTGGGCAGCCGGCCCCTCCTGCAGGCTGTTTTCTTTTCTTTATTGTTTCTGGCACCCTCACAGCCCATCTGGGGAGCATTTCCTGGATAGAGGGCCTGGTGGCTGCAGCCTTAAGAAGCACAGGCTGGGGCGGTGCCCCTACTGCTTCCCTCCAGGCCAGCGGCAGCAGCAGAGGTGGCAGCAGCAGCAGCATGGCGCTCCGGGGACCCCAGCTGCTCCTCTGCGCCCTCCTCCTCACTCAGGTTGCCGCGGAGACACCGACCTCCAAGCCCAAGAAGGCTGCCAATGCCCGGAAAGGTACGGAGGGGTCTGGCCCCTCTCCAGGAGCAGGGCCCCTCCTCTGGGCACCTCAGGCTCCCCTACCCCCCCCCCAGCTCTAGAGAAACACCTTGGGGTGGCGCCTTCGGGATCATCTTCCAGCAGGACACCTGGGCTAGGATCCAGCTCAGTGCCACAGAGCTTGCCAGAGAGGCACAGCACCCGGGGTCCAACCTGGGCCCCACACACTAACACGGGGAGGAACCCAGCGGCACCCTTTCTTGAATCTGAAAGCAACCTGGGTCTTGACTGCCCGCCTGTGTGGACACCAAGCCCACCTGGGGGTGCTTCAGAGCCCCACCTGTAACCCTGCTGGTTGGGGTACTCCACTGTAAAATGGGGGGCAATGGTCACACCAGCTGATTGTGACAAAGTGAGGGTGCAAAACATATGGGGGTGCCTGGCCTGGGACACCATGCGACACAGAGCGGGAGGCCAGAGAGCTCCGGCCTTGGGGTGGTGTCACGGCCGGGTCAGATGCTCCTGGCTGCCCCTGGGCGCAGTGATCTTGGGTTTCCAGCAATGAGGTCACCCCGCTGTGTGGACACAACATCAGAGATGCCATGGCAACAGCCCCAGCTGTTCAAGCGGGAGAGAGGGACGTGGCTGCTCAGGCCTCCTGCACCTCCACTGCCCGAAGTGGACTGCCAGCATTGAAGGGGAAAGAGTCAAGGTCTTGTGGTACAGCCCAGGTGACCCGCCTGCCTCAGCCTCAGGTGTGCACCACCATGCCCAGCTACAAGAATGGGCAGATTCAGTGCCGACAAAATCCCACACCAGGGAACGCTGCTGGGGACCTGCCTGGCCAAGCCCCAGCACTACAGGAAAGAGAAGAAAGAAGGTTGTTTCCAAGGTTGAGTTTACAAAGTGAACAAAAAAACTTCAGGGCAACAGTGGATACTCTGCCAAGATTTGCTTGGAAAAAGGGCTTTGTGTAAAATGGTATCTTTATTGTATGCATATAGAGTTTTCTGGAAGTTGGTGACAGCAAAACAGAGAGAGGCTCAGGAGGCTGAGGCAGGAGGATTGCTGAGAGTTGATCCCAGCCAGGACTACATAGCAAGACCCTGTCAAAAACTAAATACAAAACAACCAACAAAAAAGAACGAGAAGGCTATGTCCCCGAGCCCTTGTCAGAATTGACACCAGGGCAAGGTGTGGGAGCTGCACAGGGGCCTCTCCACTGAATGTCCTTATGCAGTGCCCAACTCACATGCCCTTACATGGCACTTTGGGCTAACAAGAGACTGAGGACAGAAGTACCATGAACCCAGAAGCTGAGGCATGGGGGGGGGGGTGGGACACATCAGCCCAGCCCCCGACCCTTCCTGTGTGGCTCCCCACCTCATAGGTTCCATTCTGCATCCTGCCTGTGGGCCCCCTGCAGAAGCACCCATGAATGCACCAGCTCTGACCCTGCCCCTGGGGAACACGGGCTGTGTGGAGCCTACTGCCTCCGCTACCCCAAGCCCTGGGGTTCCAGAAGGGCTCAGGTCCCCTCTGCAACCCCTTGGCCGTGGCCCCCAGCTGGCTGCCCTGAATCCTCTGCCTCCATTTCCTCACTGATAGTAGGAAAGGAGCGCTCTCTATGTGTGGAGCCCAGAGCCTGCCTGCAGCCCCACTCCTCAGGCTGAGAAGCCTCCTCAGGATAGGTGTGGTGAGCGCCCGTTATCCCAGCACTCGGGAGGCTGAGGCAGGAGGTTCCCCAAGTTTGAGCCCAGCCTGGGCGACTCAGCAAGACTCTATCTCGAAAATACAAAGGGCAGAGGGAAGTGGGCTGGGTTTAGTCTTCAATGCAGCAGAAACGAAGAGCCTGGCTGAGCTCTGTAGGGGTGGGGGGGGGGAGTGGCCGAGGGGCCCTTTCCACCCCTTTTTCTTTCCTTTCTTAAATGCGATTTTATTGGTACCCCTGGAGGTGCACGATGGTCACAGCCGCCCCTGAAATTTGTACCTGCACGTGACGCATTTTGGTTGATCTTTTTCTCCCCATTCGTCTTCCGTCTTCAACCCTTCCTCTTTTCCTTCTCTTTCTCTTTTTGTGCCAGTCACGGAGCTTAGGGCCCCACACACAGCTCGGCCTGAGCCCTTCTTAGGTTTTCCTCCCAGAGCAGTCTTACTAAGTCGAGGGCATCACCCAGGTCGGCTCACACTTCCTGCCTCAGCCTCCTAGAGGGCTGGGTTTCGAGGTGTGCGATGCCAAAGCCACCATTCAGAGAGGTCAACCCAGCCCAGCTGGGACCTGCACCCTGGGAGGCCGAGGACCTGCCCCCAGGAGGCAGGGCAGGAGCCAGAAGGGGAGGGCAGCGCGCTCCTGTGAGATGGCAGGATCCCCTCCCTCGTCACGACTGTCCCCATCTCTTCTCACCCATCCCAGACCTCGTGAGCCCCAAGATGTTCGAGGAGCTCAAGAGCCGCCTGGACACCCTGGCGCAGGAGGTGGCCGTGCTGAAAGAGCAGCAGGCGCTGCAGACTGGTGAGTAAGTGGCCCACGCGGACTGGCGTGTGCGTGCACGTGGGTGTGCGTGGTGTGTGTATGCCTGTGCGTGTGTGCGTGCACGTGATGTGTGTGGCGTTTGCAGGGCGTATTTGCGTGCGCGTGCGTGGGAGTGCGTCCGTCCCGGGCGAGGCCCTGTCACCGGAAGTGTGTGAACCCCGGCGCTGTCCCCAAGTCACCCGCACGACCGGGTTTCTGACCCCGTTTTCCGCGGAGCTGCGTCCCGGCTCTGCGTAGTTTATTCTGCGATCTGGAGTCGGGGTGCCAGGGACACCGCACCTGCCCGGGCGATTCAGCAGGTCCCCGCCAAGGGGCGAGGAGCAGCGTGCAGCCGGCCCCCTGTCTGGTGCTCCCCGCGCACCCGCGGTCCCGCCCCTGTCCCCTTTGCAGCCCGCGTGGGAGGCCGCGGTGGCCGGCGCTGTGCTGGTCCCGGGGGGAGGGCAGTGACCCTAGCCCTGGCGAGCCCCGGCTGTGGAGGGGCAAGGCGGCCCGGGAGGAGGCAGCCTTGGCCGCTCTCGGTGACCCCGGCCCCGCGTCCCTCCGCAGTGTGTCTCAAGGGCGCCAAAGTGCACCTCAAGTGCTTCCTGGCTGTGGCGCAGGCGCGCGCCTTCCACGCGGCGGGCGAGGACTGCATCGCTCGCGGGGGGACCCTGGCGGCGCCGCGCTCTGAGGAGGAGAACGAGGCGCTGCGCGAGTACGCGGCGCGCAGCCTGGGCGCTGCAGCCGAGCTGTGGCTGGGGCTGCACGACCTGGGCTCCGAGGGATCCTGGGTGGACGCGAGTGGCGCTCCCGCTACCTTCGTGCACTGGGAGACGGAGATCACGGCGCAGCCCGACGGCGGCACGGCCGAGAACTGCGCGGCCATGGCCGGGGCGGAGCACGGCCGCTGGTTCGATCGGCGCTGCCGGGACGAGCTGCCCTACGTGTGCCAGTTCGCCATCGTGTAGGGCTGAGGCTGGGGCTGAGGCTGGGGCCGGGGCGGGACGGAGCGGGAGGCCTGCAGCCGGGGCCCCTCGTGTTCCCTTTGCAAATAAAACCGGTGCCATTCGGCGGGCGGGGAGCCGCTGCAGTCTGCAAGTCTGTTCGGGGCGCGAACAGCGGGTGCGGCGGGTAGTGCAAGAGCCCGGACCCAAGAGCAGAGTGGGCACAAGGGAGGACAGGCTGGGCTGCTTTCAGAAGGACTGAGGAGAGAGCGCGGGAAAGGCGGAAGCAGGGAACTCTGGCCTGCTGTCTTTTTTTTTTTTTGCAACCAGGTTTTTTGTTGTTGTTGTTGTTGTTGTTGTTGTTGTTTTTTCTGGACATGGTTTCGTTGTACAGTTCAGGCTGGCCTGTAACCCAAGATGGCTTTGAAATCGCGTAGCGATCCTCCTGTCTCAGCCTCGCGAGTGAGGGTCTTACCAGCATGCCACACGCTGGCGACTTTTTATTTTCACGTATTTCAGGCTTTCAGAAAAGCACTTCTGATTCCCGAGTACTAACATTTCCTTCTGCGTGCTGTTTACCCTTTTACTTCTCGGACAGTGCAGGCAGACAGGACGCACCTTTACCCCTAATCCTGAGTTCCCGGGAGGAAAGATCTCTGGGGAAGCACAGCGCGGCCCTCACAGCCTTCCGTCTCCAGGCTGCCTCCCGTCGGGGTCCAGCACCCCCTCTCCATTTCCCTGGGCGCAGAGGCACCCGCGTCTGCGGGATTCGCACCCGCGCCTGGGGCGGCTGGGACAGGCGCCACAGATCTCGCTGGTGTCCGGGCCGCCCGCCAGCGGGAGCCCGTTCCTGGGGCCCCAGTGCCGCGGGCACCCGCAGTGTGGGGCTCGGTTTAACCTTCTCGGAGATGGAGCGGGGGCGGCCGTGAGTTCCAGAGGGGACAGCGAAGCCAGAACGGAACCCAGGGCGTCCCTGCCCAGCCCCTCCTCAAACCAGCAGCCGCTCAGCACCAGGGTGAGACGCGGACTGTGGGGAGGACTGGCTCCGGGCGGGACTGGCTCAGTACTCCTGCCTCTGCCTCCTGAGTGTCGGGGTTACAGGCCTTTGACCCCATGGCTGGCTTTTTAACTTTAGATTGGGTTTTGCTGTGGCCCCCTAGGCTGGGCTCAAGCTCCTGGGCTCAAGGGATCCTCCTACCTCAGCCTCCTGATGATCTTGTCTTTATTTTAAATTTTGTTATTTTTGTTTATCATGGATATTTGGGCATTAATTTTGACTTTAAAAATTACTGTGCTCAGATATTATGTATCTTGTTTACTGAATGTTTTTGGTTTTGTTTTGTGTTTCTTTGCGGGGATCAAATGTAACTGTACCACTGAGCTACATCCCTAGCCCTTTTTATTTTGAGGAACTGACTCTTGCAAAGTTGCCTAAATCCTGCCTGAGCTTGAGATCCACCTGCCTCAGCCTCCTGGAGTTCTGGGATGCAGGCATGCACCCTGCATGGGGCTTCGTTTCTGGCTCTGCCTGCTCTGCTGTGCTTTCTCTGGAACAAAGCAGCAGCACAGACCTGGGCGGAGGCCTCCTCCTCCTCCTCCTCCTCCTCCCACTTGGTGACCTTCATTCCTCTTCCTAAAGGAAGGGCTGGGAACTGAGGGCACGGAGCAGGGGACCTGGGAACACTGGTGGAGCACATGGGCGAGCAGGACTGGTCACCTACTTTTTGCAAATCCATGGTTTTGATGCCGGCTCCATACTTTATTTGGCACCATACTTTATTTGGTGTTTTGAGACAGAGTCTCACTGGCCTTGGATTCTCTTTGTAGCCCAAACTGAACCTGAACTTGCAAGGATCCTCCTTCTTCAGCATCCTGAGTGCTGGGATTCCTGGCATGTGCCACCATGCCTGGCATGAGCATTTAAAAAAATCTATTCATTTGATTCAGAAAATATTTAGTTATATTTACAAAAATATATCATAGACTTGTGATTTTTGGATGAATTGTGTGCTAATATGATACGGAATTCAGGACCAGACCAAATGCAGACAGGGCACCAGGGGAACTTTAGAAGGCAGATTTGTTATGCTAGTGGGCGGAGGGCACTCTCAATTCCAGGTCATCAGCCCCAGCTGGAGTTTTTAAATCATTTATGTGTGTTTCCAAAAGGCAGATAACATGTCTTTGTCACTAACTGCTAGGCAGAATTTATTCTCACAGAAACAACAACTAAATGAGATTATTATGGTACAACACAGAGGAAGAATCTGTTACTGAGTCCAGGCAGAGATGTCCTTGCAGGGGTCACTCTCTGGGACCTGGAAACGACAGAAACCTTTCTTCCTGGCTGAGCCTCCTTACCTTGCAGTTGGGACCTGGAGTGTCCAGGCTCCTTCAGTTCGTAGTTTTCTAACCATGGGAACAGGCTGTGCCTTTCAGTTTCACCCTTGAACAGCATTAGAAATACGTTTAGTGTTAGATGTGTAAGCTTTAAAATTTCCTGCCCATTAAAATAGCCTCCACCCCAGCCCAGTGGTCAGCTTTTTGTTACTGTGACAAAATGCCTAAGATGACCACAGCCATTAGGAGGAAGCTTTGATGCCGGCTCATGGTTTCAGAGGTTCCAGCCCATGCTTGGGCCGCATTGCCTTTGGGCCTGTGGTGGACGGGATGTCAGGGGTGAGGGCACAGAAGAAAAGGCTTACCATGTGGTGGGCAGGAAGCAAAAAGAGGGGTTGGGGTACCAGTGTCTCCTTCAGGATCACATCCCCGGTGACCCAGCTGAGCCTCAAACCTGGTGGAGCATGAGGCATGACTCACACCAGAAGTTTAAAATATCACCAGCGCCCTGTAGCCTTGCCCTGCCGTGGGGTACTCTGAGCTGTCCCCTCCTTTCTGGTCCTGCGCTGCTGAGCATCCCTCTGCTACCTGAGCCACTGCTGACCACACTCCTCCTGTTCTCCCTCACTCCAGCTCACTTTATAGCCCATGCTGGTTTCAAAACTGCAACGATCCTCCTGCCTCAGCCTCCCGCGTGCTGGGATTACAGACCCGGCTCACCCATCCTCAGAGATGCCTCAGAGACATCGGTCCCGGTGCCTCCCTGTGCCTTTTGTGGTCCATGTGGTCTTCACCTGGGCACAGGGAGGTTGTGCTCAGCCAGGACCCAGCCTGCATGCCATTTCTCCAAGCAGCCTCCTGGGGGTGCCCAGTGTGGAGGATGCTGTAGTCCCTATCTGGGTGGACTCTGAGCACCCTAGGAAATTAGGAGCTGATGCGCTGAGGCTTGTCTGGCCCTGGATGTGGCTCTTCCATATTTGCATGGCTGAGAACAGAGGTGGGCAAAGTGGTGGGGTAGAGTCTGTAGGATGGGGCAGCAGGCTGAACCTCGAGGTCCATACCAGGCAGGGAGCCAGGGGCTGCTGTACCTCTGGGTGCCTACATCGGGCTGTGGGTTTTCAATGGCAGTGACAATAGTCAACCTCAAACTATACTCCAAAGTCATAATAACAAAAGCAGCATGGCATTGGCACACAAACAGCCACATACATGGATGGGTACTGCATAAACCCACATAGCCAGAGCATCTCATTCTAAGCAAAGGAGTCCAAAACAGTCCCGGGAGAAAAGACGGCCTCTCCAATAAACAGGGCTGGGAAAACTGGGGATCCACTTGTAGAAGATGGAAACAATCCTTGTGTCTAACCCTGAGTAAAGTCAATTTAAAATGGATCAAAGACCCAGGCACAGGACCTGAGACTCTCAAACTGCTAAGAGAAAACACAGGTAAAACACCTGAGGACATAGGCATAGGCAAAAACTTCCAAGACTTTCCCCCCACATTTTTTTCCAGAGACAGGGTTTCACTATGTAGCCTGGGATCACCTCCAACTCATGGTGATCCTCCTGCCTCAGCCTCTGGAGTGCTGCTGTGTTACCATGCCTGGCTGGGAGAAAATCTTTATCAGCTATATTTCTGACAAAAGACTGATGTCCAAATATATAAAATAAAGAACTCAAAAGATGTAACAGGCACACACAAAATCAAACAGCTCCAGAATGGTTGTCTTGGTTTTCTCTCCTTGCTTGGATAAAATACCCAACACCCAAAATGAAGGAAGGGAAATCTTATGGTTGACACACTGTCAACTTGAAAAGTTTAGAAGTTTAACTAAGAGGCTCAGCAGGGATCCAGGGTCCTCACTTTGAACATGTCCTCAGCCTGTGTAAGAGGAGGGGTAGTGCGAGTGCCACACCGGCCCTGGAAGGGATGGGGTGGCCTGTGTACAATGTAAGGGAGGAGAAGAGGCCTGCTCTTCCCACTTTTGCTCTGGCTGCTCCTTAAGTGCTGCCCCTGAGCCACACCACCCTGCCTTGGAGCCAGCTGATTGTAGACTAAAACCTCCACACACTGTGAGCTAAATAAACCTTTCCTTCCTTCATTTTGGGTGCTGGGTATTTTGTCCCAGCAATGAGAGAAAAGTAACCAAGATGCAAGATCACTTTCATTTCTGTACAATCCCAGCTTCTTCCCATGCCAGGTGCGGCTGCAGCCTGGGGGGTGGGGGGAAGCGATGGCTGCAGCCCAGCGACATGGTCCAGATCACACATGGCCTGTCACAGTAGCCGGTGGGCATGGGGAGACAAACACCAGACACATGACTCTTGCATATTTATTTTATTTTTTAAAAAAGCATAGGAAACGAATAGGTAAATGCTACTTAAAAAGTCTCTCCATAAATAAATTATTTCTAGGTAACGTCACAGCTCCACATGCATGGTCCTCTGTCCTGACTGAGGCTGTGTTTCAGGGGCTCACAACTGTCCCCCCTGGCCCTTCCTCTCGACCATCCTCTTCCCGCAGGGGCCCAGACCTGGTGGAGGTGCCCGCGTGTCCGTGGGTCCAGGGTGGAAGGAAGGGTGTGGGAGGTGCACATCATCCACTCGGCATGTGGCCTCGGAGACCTTGAATCAAGAGGACCTGGTGCAGCTCAGGCTGCACTCAGCTGCAGCGCAGGCTCCAGGTGCTGGCGACTCGGCCCAGGGTTTAGTGTTATCACAATGGCCGCCTGGGTCCAGGCAAGAGACGGACAATGTGTGGGGCAGCCCAAGGAGACAGATGGAGGGAATGAGTGAGCACCACCCAGCTCCTTCTTGGGACACTGCCCCAGGTCACTGCTGCAGGTAACGGGGCGGGGACAGACTTTCAGGAGGGAAAGAAGGGGGTTAGGGCAGCACCTCAAGTGGAATAATGAACAAGCCCCCACCCTTTAGGGGCTGGGGGTTTAGCTCAGTGGCATAAGCGCCTGCCTTGCAAGCAGGCCATCGTGAGTTCGATCCCCGGTAGTACCGATAAAAAGGAAAAATTCCCACCCTTCTGGAGACACAGGGGGCCTTGAAGGACACTTGGCTGGGCAATCACTTCCTGTCCATTCTGCCACAGAGACATGCCAGGTGGTGCCTCTCCAGAGGATCCTGGACTTGAGAAGGAGGAGAAAAAGGTGATGGGAGAGGGGAAGGCGGGAGGGGGAGGGGCAGAGGCCTCCTGCAGTGCTGGTGAGCCGTGAGGCCTTCTCTGACCAGCTCGGAGAGCAGCCAGGCCAGCACAAGCCAGGCTGGGGCAGCGCCATGTCCAGGACACACCAGGGTCACAGAAGAGTCTGTCTTTCCTTCCTTCCAAGAGGAGCACCCTGCAGGCTGCTGCACTGTGCACCGACATGTGGCCTTATAGTGGGGCCCACGCTTGGGGTGCTGGGCCACCCCACCTGAAGCAGAGCCCTGGCTGGTGGTCACCAGGTGCCTCTGGGCCCAGCCTGACTGGCTCTTTTGACTGGGATTTTTCCCTAACACTTTGTGATTTAAATGTTGGTAACTTAAAGAAAAAAATATTCCAAATGCCCCATGGCTGCTCGGTTCTCAGCTGCTCCAAGGGAGTCAGAGGCCGGAGAAGGCGTAGGCAGGCAGCTCCCCAAAGATGCTTGCGTCCTACCCCCTCCTGGGTGGGGAGGGGCTTTCCTGGGGGTGCGTGGGTCAGACGAGCAGGTGGCACTGGTGCCTAGACAGCACTGGGCCTTGGCCTGGAGAAGCTCGTCCCCGGCACCCTCGTCTCCAGATCTGTGAGCAGACAGATGAACCTGGGTTGCAGCAGCTAGCACAGTGGCAACTCCGGCGCAGGTGTGAACATCTGAGGATGCAGACGTCCTCGAGTTTCTGTTTCAGCGTCCGGCACAGCTGCAGCTGGGGGAGCTGCATGGCCACTCCAGGAAATCTCTCATCCCCAGGAGCAGAGGACAAGGGGACCGGGGATGAAGTCTGGCAGTGGTGGGGCCGCCACATTCACACCCTTGTGGTTGAGACTCATTCCCACCTCGCCGGGGACAGGGGTGCTTTTCATCCGGGGACTGGAGAAGTCAGAACCCAAGTGTGCAGAGGTGAGAGGAGTGCGTGGTTGTGACCCCACCTCTTCTGGGAACACGAGCCAAATAAATAACAGGAGGAAAGAGGCGCACTGTCCTTGCTGTGGTCTCATTTTATCCCGACAGACATGAGGACCTCACTGGGCTCCCAGAAGTGGCCGCTCTCCTGTCACTGGAAGAGCCCAGCAGGACCCGTAGGCTTGGGATGACAGATCTGGATCCGGATCAGGATCCACCTGTGGCCCTGAGGTCTCATCACGGAGGGGGTGGGCTCAGGGCTGGGGTCCGGGAAACCCATGCACTGAGACACACAAAGCTACTCGGCTGGCCGCCCTGGCTCCTGCGTGTCCAGCAAGGGGGCGAGAGTGCTCCCGTGGCTCCCGGCTGCCTGGCTGGGGTGGGAGAAGGTGTAGGGCTCGCTCTCGGGCTCGTCCTCGGCCAGCTTGGTGGTGGGTGGCGGGCTGGGCGGGCGGTCTCCCATGGCGCCCTGGAAGGGCCGGTAGGTGTCTACCTCCGGCTGCAGGAAGGACCCGCTGGAGCCCTGGAGCAGGTGCCCGTACACCATGGTGTCGTCGATGACAGCGTACACGTGGGAGTCGTTGTCCTGGCGTCCTTTCGGGAACTTCTTGGGCTGCAGCGGCATCTGGGTGTTGACGTTGCCGTTGTAGACGCCCACGGCGGGGCCCCTATCCACCTTCTTCTTCCTGCCGCGGGGAGGGAGTAAGACAAAAGTCAGAGATGGAACCTTGCCGGACACGGGGGCTGTGGGGCGCCGGCCTCGTCCCCCCGTCACGTTAATAATGCAGCTGTCCTTAGGGGATGGCAGCTTCTGCCAGAAGTTTCTAAGACGCAGAGCAAGGGATGGGAGTGTGCAGGTGACAAGGATTTTAAGCGCCACCTGCGCCCCAAGTGTCTTTTTATTTATTTTGTTTGGTGCTGGGGATTGAACCCAAGACCTTGTGTGTGCAAAGCACAAACTCTAACACAAAGCTATGCCCAGCCTGCACATTATCTTCTTTCTTTTTGATTTTTATTTATTTATTTTGAGACAGGGTCTTGCTCTGTAATTCAGGCTGGCCTTGAACTCACTATGCAGCCCAGGTTGGCCTTGAACTCACAGCAGTCCTCCTGACTCAGGCTCCAGAACACTGAGATTACAGGTGTGTGCCACCACTCCTCGTTCTTATGATGTTTGGAGACAGGGTGTCACTATACAGTTTAGGCTGACCTTGAACTCACTCTATAACCCAGGCTGGCCTTGAACTCAAGGGAATCTTCCTGACTCAGCCTCCCAACTGCTGGGATTACAAGTGTGTGACATCATACTGACTCCTCAAACCATCTCCAATAGAGCACAGAGCATCTGATAGCAGGGACCCCTGGCAAGTGATCCCTTTTCTTCCTTCTTACTAGAAATGTAAGAGGATTACTGTAATAACTGTCTTCTTCTTAAACAGTTGCATCTTAGCCCTCTGAAGCTACATCAGCATGCCTGGGCCAAGTTTCCAGAGCTCTCTCTGTGTCGTCCTTGGCTTGTGCTCCATGAGTCACAGCTCTGACCACCTGATGCCCCAGTCAGGCAGGACACTCAGGAGGGAGGGGTGTGGCTGACCTGCTTGAACTGGGCACAGCATAGGTCAGCTCCAGCAGGGGCACCCAGTGGTGTCTGAGGCAGCTGCCACCACAGAGTACAGAGCTAAAGCTGAGCCCAAACTCTGGCAGTGGTGCACTGCCATTTGGGGTTGGTGGTGATGGCCCCCGGTGCTTGGAGGAGGTCAGTCATCAGCCTCGCCCCTCCCCTCCTCCCTGACTATGGGACCCCCTAAGCTCACATCTGGTGATGCTGCCTGACACTGAGCTTTGGGGAACAGGGGAAGGAAGACGCAAAGTCGATAATGAACAAAACCCCTGCTCCAGGAGTCCAGGCAGTGCTGTATCATTAGCCAGGGAGCGTCCACCTACTTCTTTTTCGCACAGCAAATGATCAGCCCGAGGACGAAGAGCAGTGAGACTCCGCCTCCCACCACAGCAGCGATGACAACTGTCAAGTCTGTGGGCAGAGACAGAGGGAGATGAGACAGCGACCAGCTGGAGTCGTCCCCCCACACAGCCAGAGCCCTCCCCTTCCATAAGCAGCTCGTCCTGCATCTGCCTCCCTTCCCTAGGCCGGCCAGGACCAACAGGAGGTGGCAGTGACTGCTCTGGGCCTGATCTTTAAAAGGACCATCAGCCGGGGCTCTTTCCATGAGGGGAGACTGGCTGCTGCGTGACAGGCTGACTGTGCCGACTGACTCTGAGGCTGCCATGCTGTGGAGAAGCCCAAGGCAGCCTGTAGAGACACCACGGGGAAAACGGCCCTGCCAGAGAGAGGGCCAAGGTGCCAGACAAGTGAGCCACCCAAACAGGGCGACTGTTTAAGAAGACAACAATTATTGCAGTAAAAGTCGCATTGCCACGACCTCCCAGCAGTCTTCTCATGCCCCACACACTTAGCCCATTTTTCTTGCCACTCTCAGAAGCAGCTCTGGAGTCCCCTTTCCTGAGTGTATCAGTGTGATCGTAAGTACGGTGCCCAACAGAAAGGCAGCTGGTAAAAACCTGACACTGTGCCATCACCCACCTTATTTGCCAGATCTGGCAGTGTACAACTTCTAAAGTTAAAATGACCTTGAAAGGTCAATGTTTTGAACTGATTCAGGACACTGAGGCAGCCGTGAAGAGCACTCTGGAGCTGCTGCAGACGTGATGAGGGTGATGGGACCAGAGTGCTGGAAGCGAGGGGGGAGATTTTGGGGGAATTCGTGACAATGGTCTTGTGCTAGAACACTTTTTTTTTTTGAGACAAGTCTCTCTATGTAGTTCAGGCTAGCCTTGAACTCACAGCAATCCTCCTGCTTCAGTCTTCTGAGTGTGGGATTACAGATACATGCCAATGTTCACTGTATCTTTTTTGTTTGCTTTTTTAAAACAGCAAAATTTTATTAAAGGTAGGAAAACCAACAGGTTCTGCAGAGCAAACTGAGACCAAGTAAAAGTTGGAGAAATACAGCCTATGGCCTGAAGGCAGGCAGCAAGAGAGAACATAGTGGCCTGTTTAAGTCTTTTGAGACAGAGCAATCCTCCTGCCTCAGCCTCGCAGGTGCTAGGATTACAGGTGTGAGCCATGACAGTTGGCATCATTCACTGATCTCTGGGCCATACTGGGTAGCTTCAGCAGAGCCCCCCCACCATCCTATGGGGTTCAAGGCATCTGGTTGCTGGGCCCCAGATGCCCTGCAGTGCAGAGGGTCACCCTGCTGTGCCTTCCCTGGCCAAGTTCCGGACCCAGAAACACCCCCAAACACACTGGCTATTGTCTGAGCCACTAAAGGCCAGTGGCACTGGCGAGGAGAAGACATGGGGAGACTGACCAGCTCAGCTTCCGCAGCCTGGACCACGGGCCCCAGACCCCCATGTCCCAGGGAAGGAAGAGCAGAGGCAGAGGACAGAGGGCAGGGTGGGGAGGTGGAGGCACTTGGGGTCCTTTGCCTGCAGCTGCACAGAGGAGACGGAAACGGGACTGGTGGGGACCCCTTCCCCAGCCGGGCACGAGGACTTCTCCCCATCACTGCAGAAACAAAAGGCCAGTGAGTGGCGGGGACGGCAGCAGTAAAGATGGGCAGAGGGCAGGAGAGGGGCTGCCGGACTCCAGACTCAGGAAGGGGCAGAGACTCGGCCCTGGCCCCTCTGACCCACACCAGTCTGCGGCCCTCGCTGACCAAGGGCAGACGAGGCCACCATGCCGGTCACACAAGTCCAGCTGCACGTGTCCTCTCCCTGTCCCTTTCACCAGGAACTGCACCAACTCAGTAGACTAAAAGCAAGCTCCTGCCCTGCCCTGTGACAGCCATTGAGCAAATTCCAGGGGCTCCACTGCGTCCCTGGAATAAATAGAAACAGCAACACCACACTTTTCGGTAACACTCCCCAGGCTCCCAAATCTCAATTGAGGACACAGAACCCCATGATGCTTCCAGAGGTAGCTATCGTCGTCTCCTCTGTGAGTATCACAGGAGTAAAAGACTTGTTTATGTCAGAGAGATGACAAGTGAGGAAGGTAGTAAACCGACTTAAAAAAAAACCTAGGTGAGCCAAGAGAATGGCAGTGGTGTGCGCCTGCCTAACCCCACTACACTCTGCAAGTCTCCTCCCACCTCTCATGGATCTTTGCCCTTCTGTCATGAGGACAGGCCTGGCTCGAGGACATGAGATGAACCACGTGAGCCCAGTGGCTCAAATGATCTGGGCTGGGCCCCTGTGTGTGGCAGTGCCCATCCTGGGCCAGCTGCACTGCGTAAGTGACTAACAGCTCAGCTTAGGCCAGAACTGCTCAGCCAATGAGCATAATAAGCAGCTGTTCTAATCCGTTAACTTCTGGGGTGCTTTGTTACACAGCATTACTGATGCAACAGCTGACCCATACACAGCCAGCTAGGACCCAATCTATTTGGCTTCTTCCTTGACCCTCAATGCCAATTTGCTGTCTACCACAACCTCCAAAAGACCCCAAAAGACCTTACCCAAGGTCCTTGGGGTCACAGTCACCCAGAAGAGCAGGTCCAGCTGCTTGCCGCTGGCGGGGCTGCAGTTGGAGATGTTGACCCAGAAGCTGTGGCGGTGGAAGCTTGGCTTGGGGAGCCTGTCATCCTCCAGGCTGAAGATCTCCTCGGCCCGTGTGCGCTGCTCCTGGATGATCATGAACGCTCGCCCTGACTGGCAGACCACGCCGGTGCGCTCCTTGGAGAAGGTGAGGCAGGCCTCCTGGCCGCTGGGCACACTGATGTTCCAGGACATGGAGGACAGGGCTGGCAGCCCATGGTCCCAGTTCGGGGTCCTCAGGTAGACCTTGGTCTTAGTGTCTGGGGTCACCGTGAAGATCCCTTCCTCTGTGGGAAAGGAAAGGGGATCTGGACATTGTTTCACTTATGGAGACACAGAGAAAAGGAGACGTGGAGGAGATACTGTGGAACCTTCTAGAATAGTGTGTCCACTGTGGAATATTTTAGAACAGTGTCCACGAGAACCTTCTGGGTGATAGGAGTGTCTACATCAGCTCCATAGACACAGCCATGTGAAACTGTCCACGTGACTGAATCAGGACCTGAAGTGTCCCTCAAAGCCCAAAGTAAAGACGCGGTCACCCAGCAGTCATATTAGGCAGAGGTAGAACCTTAGGAGGTTGGGCCCATAGGAGGAAGTGACGTCACTGGGCGTGGCCTCACGGGGCCACGCCTCTTCCTCTGCTTCCTGGTAGGCAGGCGCACCTGCCAGGGCTTCTGCCCATCTCAGGCCCCAGCACAGCAGTGTGAACCACCTGACCCTCAGTCAGAGGAAACTTCCCGCCTTGTGAATTCCTTACTCTGTGTTTGTCACCGTGCCGGGAAGCTGACCAGTGCCCAGTGGACTGCATTTTATGTTTCACTATGTAAATAGCCATAAGGGGCTGTTAGTTATGCCCTGGTGGCTACAGGCTAGACTTCAGATAGGGGCTCAGGTCTTTGGAACAAAACAACAAAATAAATGAGAAATGAGCCCATTTGCCAAACCCGTGGTTGCTTTAGCCACACCCCCCCCCAGGCCGGGTTTTTTTTTTTTTTTTTTTTTTTTTTTTGAGATGGGGTCTCACTATGCAGTTCGGGTGGCCTTGAGCTCACTTTGTAGCAAAGGCTGGTCTTGAACTCGCTACGTTCCTCCTGCCTCAGCCTCGTGAGTACAAGGATTGGTGTGTGCGCCACACCCAGCTACCTATTCCTAACCTCTGGGGTTTCCCACACTGGGTAGACAGGAAGTCAGCTGTAAATTCGCCTCGCAAGCCCCGTGCGCCCTCTCTCCCTCCTCACCAAGCTGAGGCCTACTGAAAGGGCCGGAGGAAGCAGAAAACGAAGCCAAACCAGAAATGGGGTCGCAGAGGACAGCAGAGGGCAGGGTCCTCACCTTTGAAGTACGGCAGGAAGGACACGGTCAGACCCGGGACCTCCGTCTGGAGGCGGGGCGCAAAGGTGCGCAGAGTCACCGAGCTGTTCTGCCGCAGCAGCAGCTGCTTGATGGAGCCGCCCACACAGAAGGAGCCAAAGTACACATCCTGGCCCGGGCCGCCACTGGCCACCAGGTAGCTGGAGCTGGCGTTGCAGGGCCGCTCGTGTGTGTGCTGCTGCAGCTTGCGCGCCGGTGTCAGCGCCAGGCTGAGCCTGTCCTTGGGCACCTGCAGCCTCCAGGAGAAGTCGCGCAGCTGCACGGGCAGCCGCAGGATGTCGCTGGGCACCTGCAGCGGAAAGGACTTCCGCTGGCAGTAGTGGTAGTCCATGCAGCCTGTGGGAGAGGGTCGTGGTAGCCAGTGCAGGAGTCCAGTGCCGCCCACTCTCCCAGGGCCCTGTCCCTCTCCTGCACGGGAAGACAACTCCTGCAGGCCTCAGGGGGCCCAGCCAGGGAACCCCACCATCTAGGGCGGCTGGGCAAATGTAATCCTACAAAGGCGGGGCCCATGGAGCCCTGCAGACCTGTAGGACCCAGGCTCAGGCATGGAGTGATGGAGGGGTGGGAGGAGCTTAGGGGGAGGCATGAGATATTATGGGGGACCATGCCTGGGCTCCCCCATCACCCTTGCTCCCTATACTCTGAGGTGCATTTCATTAATTTTTTATAGCACCCCACGTCTTCTGCAGTGCTATCTCCCCAGCCCTTTTTATTTATTTATTTATTTTATTTTCAGAAAAGATCTCACTAAGTGACTGAATCATCCAGGCTAGGCTCCAACTTTCGACCCTCCTGCTTCAGCCTCCTAGAGTGCCTGGCTGGCAGGTGTGCACTGCCGCCCCTGGCTGGGAGGGGATCCCAGGGAGGAGCCGTACTTAGGGTCTTCTCCGCCATGGCCCACAGCCGCGTCAGGTCGTCGCAGAGGAAGGAGATGGTGTATCTGGAGCCGGGCGCCAGGGTGACGTTGGGGCTGCAAGTCCGGGACTCCAGGCATACGAAGCAGCCAGCGACGAACCTGCGGCTCAGCTTGGACCGCGGCTGGATGGTGAGCGACAGCGTCCGATCCTGGCTCAGGTCCACCACGTAGGTTTTGTCTGAAAGCACAGCGGGCAGCGGCATGACATGGCCGAAGGCAGAGGACAGCGGCCTTGGCAGAGACCCGGAGCGGGGGCTGGAGAGCGGATGGTGCCATTTAATAATTCTTTTTCTTTCTTTCTTTTTTTTTTTTTTTTTCTTTTTGAGACAGGGTCTCACTGTGCAGTTCAGCTGGCCTTGAGCTCACTTTATAGCCCAGGCTGGTCTCAAACTCACAACAATCCTCCTCCCTCAGCTTCCCAAGTGATGGAATTAGAGGTGTGTGTGCCACCATGCCTTTTTTTTTTTTTTTTTTTTTTTGTACTAGGGATTGAACACAGGGCTTTCTCATGCAGTCATATCCCCAGGCTGTCTATTTTTTTTTAATTTTTTTTTTTTTTTTGTCTTTTTCTTTTTTTATCGGTACCGGGGATCAAACTCACGACTGCCTGCTTGCAAGGCAGGCGCTTATGCCGCTGAGCTAAATCCCCAGCCCCGGCTGTCTATTTTTGTGAGACAGGAGCTTACTATGTAGTCTGGCCTAGAGCTCTTGGCAATCTTCCTGCCTCAGCCTCTGAAGTGCTGGGCTCACAAGTGTGGCTCCCACACCTGGCTATTTTTTGTTTTGAGACAGCGTTCATTCCTGGGACTCCTGGGAACTTGTGATTCTCCTGCTTTAGCCTTCTGAGCAGCCATACACCAGGCTCCTAATCATCTCGTTAGTGCTTACAGGAGAAAAATTTTTTTCCTTTAAAATGAAAAGATGGCCCAGGGGAGAAGTCAAAGCCCACACACAACACAGACCAGTACTGGCGGGTGAAATCCAAGATCCAGCACTCGGGGTACCTGGCAGTTGTAACAACAATAAGGAGTGAAAGCCAAACCCATACCAACCATTAGCTCAGGGTTCCACAAGGTCATAACAGCAACAAAAGAAGCCTGCTTCCCCACCTGCCCGAGAGCCCTGTACCAAGGGATCGGGGCCTGGAAGACACTACTGGTTTGTTGTGAGAGAAAGCAAAAATTTTCTTCTTTTCCTTTTTGTTTTGAGACTAGGTTGTGGCATTCATGGTGATCCTCCTGCCTCAGCCTCCTGAGTGCTGGGATTACAGGTATGCCTGGCATATTTTCTAGAAACCAGAAGAGGGTACATGGAGCAGGGGCTGGGAGGCTCCCCTAAAGGGACGGTGTGGATAGGAGGGCTACCAGCCATGGGCAGCAGGATGCCATACCTTTTAGAAATTACGCAGAGGGTCATTAGGCCAGCAGCTCAGTGTGACCTTCAAGCCACCACTTCTACACTCATTTCCTGCTACCGAATTCCACCCTGAATCACTGGGGGAGATGTTTCTTCCTACTCATTGTTTTACTCCTCCTGTTATATGGAACTATGAATGTCATTCAACTTTTTAAATAAAGTTTTCATTAAAGAGAGAGAGAAGAGAAGAGAAGAGAAGAGAAGAGAAGAGAAGAGAAGAGAAGAGAAGAGAAGAGGAGAGAAATTATACAAAAGAAGCTAGGTGTGGTGGCACCCGCCTATAATACCAGCCCTCGGGAGGCAGGAGGATCACCATGAGTGCCAGGTCAGTGTGTGGACTACGCAAGGGGCCCTTGTCTCCAAAAAAACCCAAAAAGCAAACAAATCAACAAAGTAAAAGCAAAAACAAGAAAAAAATATAAAAAACCAACTGGGTTTCCAAATCCAAGATCATGTTTGCTTTTCTCTGTGCTGAGGGAAGACTGTAGGTTTGTGGCTCACAGAGGAGCCGGGTCACCGCCTCACAAACCACTGCCTGAAACTCAAAGGTGCGGGACCTTGGGCCACAGGAAGTTTTCTGGCCAGGAGGCCAAGAAAAAGACAAAGACAGGAGGGAGGGGGCGGGGCTGATCCCGGGGCGGGGCGGGGCGGGGCGGGGCAGAGCGGTACAGCTCACTTACTGCTTTCGTTCTGTGGGATCTGCACCAGCACCCGGAAGCGCAGCCGCAGGATGCCCGGGCTTTGGGCATCCTGGTCGCAGCCCTGCAGGGACAGGTTGAAGTTCCCGGCCATGTTGCCCGGTTGCGGGTCGTCCAGTCGGAACACCTCGGGGTTGGTGGCCGAGCCCGGGATGTAGTATTCCACGCGCTCCTCCTTGCGCTCGCAGTTGGACAGGTTGAAGTCCAGGAAGGTCACGCTGGCCCGCAGGTGTGCGGGGACCACGAACTGCCAGGTCATGAGCTCGTCCTCGGGGAAGCCGGCCGGATAGTTGGCTGACATCAGGGTGGCCGCGCCTTCGCCCTCAAACACAGACTCGATGATGCACAGGCCTATGGACAGGGAAGGCTACCTTCAGGGAGTGACTGGGCACGCAGGGTGCTCCGTGGTGCGGGGGCCAACGTTTTATAACAGCATCACAGGGCACAAAGAGTCAGGGTCTCACCTGTAGCCCAGGCTGGCCTTGAACTCGCAGCAGTCCTCCTGCCTCAGACTCCTGAGTTCTGGAGTCACAGACACACAGCACCACACTTGGCATTGTTCACTTTGCTCCAAAGTGATTTGCTTCATTGTACATTTATGTAATCCTATTCTTATTTTTTAAATCCTGCTCTTTATACTGTCTGTTTTTACCAGCTCATGAACCCCCTGAACACTTAAGGACCAGTTTGCTAGGTGTGGTGGTACATGCCTGTAGTCCCAGCACTGAGAAGGCTGATGCAGAAGGATGGCTGTATAAGGCCAGCCTGGACTACTTAGTTGAGACCCCAAAACAAACCAGACCAAAAACAAACCAGCCAGTTCTCTGGGCCCGTGGTTGAGCCCCAGGGCTGCTGGCCCTACAGGGAAGGGACACTCACGTTTTATGGCTGTGTGGTTGGCGATGCTGAAGCCAGACATGTTTCTGTTCTGGTACCAAGGGACGTGCAGGGCCACCTTCACCCCCTCCTGCAGTTTGATGCGGGAGACCGTGCCATTGTTGCCACAGAAGGTGCCGATCCTGACCACGGCAGCAGCCACGAGGCCACTGATGGTGTGGGTGATGCCATCAGGGCAATAGTCGCCTGGCCCCATCTGCCGGAGGCGGGGCCCGGAGAAGCGCAGCTCCAGGCCCGTGCTTTTGCGGGCATGCACGTCCCACACGAAGGTTCTGTTGAGGGCGGGCATCGCCGAGACGGGAGGCTGCAGTGGGACCTCGCCCAAGGGACACAGCCCAGATGCACAGTCTGCAAGAGCCACGTGCAACTGTGACTGAGTGCCATGGTGGAGCCACACTGCCTGCCTGGCCCCTGTTCCAGCCACCCTGGACCACAGGTGTCCCCATCTGTGCCCTGGCTGCCCAAGCCAGGCAGCCACAGTTCTGCATCTATTCTGGGGGGTCTGGACCGCGGAGGCTGGGATCCTCACTGGCCTCTTGGCGTAAAGGGACACCCTAAGCCCCCATGCCATTTGCATCCGGGACTTCAGGGACCAGGCCTGTGCTCTACTCCTCCCCAGCTCCCGCTGGATCCGCAGTTTAGATAAACCCGTCCCAGACTCTGCTTTGGGCTGCTGGGGGCCCACCATCTCCAAACTGCTGTTTCCTGGGCAACTTGTGGGCCAGCCGGTGACCTCTGCCTGGGTCTGGGAGCTGAGGAGCCCTCCCTGGGAGCTGGCAAGGCCCCGCTGTCACCCAGCTCATCGGCTCTGCCACCTTCTGTGGGGACAGTTGTGGCCTCATCATGCAGCTCATTCTGCCTTTCTCTCTCCCTGCAGGTCTGCATCCTGGGACTTCCTACTTGCCCTGCATGTAGTTACAGTTTTACCATTTTTAGATCACAGGGCCAAGATCCATCTTTTACTGTAATTTTAGACATTTTTTGAGACAGGTTCTCACTATATAGCTCACTATGTAGCCCAGGCTGGCCTTGCAGTCATAGCGATCCTCCTGCTCAGCCTCCTACATGAGGGGATGACAGGCATGTGTCACCATGCCTGGCTCACATGGCTAGATGATGAGCCCCATCAAGAAGCCCCACAAGAGCTGAATTGGGGGTGCAGAGCCAGCCCTCCCCCGCCCATGGGCTGGGTGCTCACCGATGTTCTTCTTGATCTCCAACACAAAGTGCTTCGCAGGGTCCTGGCAGGTGAAGGCGAAGCTCCTCCGCTCCCCAGGCTTCACGGACAGCGTGTCCACATGCCGCTTGTCAGCGATGAGGTAGCAGGATCTCAGGGCCAGGGCCAGGGTTCCCCTCTTTACAAGGACGGTGACGCCGCTTCCCTGGGGCACAGTGATCTCCACATCTCCTGCAGGGAGGGAGAAAGGCAGAGCGAGCTGCACAATGAGGCCACAACTGTCCCAACAGAAGGTGGCAGAGCCCATGAGCTAGATGACAGCGGGGACCTAGACAGTAGGAAAGGACCAGAAAGCTGCTGGCTGGGCCCAGCCTGCCTCTCACTTGGATTATTAATTTTTCCAACCATTAAAGCACAACACCCTACTTTGGCCGTTTGACCAGTCTGTGTTCAGATGCCCAGTTTGTGCAGAATTAAATAATAACCAGAGATGACAGACTATAGGAGAAGGTCCAGCAGGCATGGTGGCACACGCCTCATCCCAGCACTCAGGAGGCTGAGGCAGGAGGATTGCTTGAGTTGGAACCAGCCTGGGCTACACAGCAACACTCTGTCTCAAATAAAAATGTTAGTCCAGACACAGAGCCACCCAGCTGCAAAGAGACGAGCTTGATCATCTACCGGAGGCCGCTGTCCCTGGCATGGTGTGTTACATGCCCGCAACACACACGTGTGGGCAGAGGCGGGAGTGGAAGACATTTGTGGAAGTTAGAAAGAAACATGCTGGACCAGCGGTCTCGGAAAGCAGAGCAATGTGACTGTGGTAAATGGGGTCCCTCCTGGTCCTGACTGTGGGTGCCGCATCCCTCACTGGGGTGCGGCACCCACAGTCAGGACAAGCAGATCCAGGGACAGACATGCAGGGCAGGGGACAGGGTCCTGAGCTCTGGCACCCAGGCATACCCACCTGGTTCACTGTGTATAGTCGGCAGAGACAGCAGTGCCCGTGTATACACCGCGCTCAATACCAGCCAGCAGCCAACCTGAGCAGCCTGCCAGGCAGGAGCCTCTGCTCTGCTCTTAGCCCCTCCCTTAAAGCCGGCTCCACTGGCCTCGTTATACCTGCAGGGATCGCTGTTCTAAGTACTCTGAGGTTTGTACCCCCGCCTGGGCACCCAAGGCCTCCGCAGTCAGGACACAGAGCCATTGCCCTGCGAGCGCCCCAGGCTTCGAGGTCCCAGAGCCTAGGTGCCCAGGGCGTCCACGGTGGGAGACCGGGATTTGCTTTTATTATGGCTTCTCCGTGGGAGAGTCAAGGATCCCAGGCAATCCTTTTGCCACAAGGTACTAAGGTTGCCCCTGTTATTTACAAATTTAATTTGGGATCTAATCATCCAGAGTTTTGTGCCAACTCTTTGTAAACAAGGAACAGGAAATGAAGGAAGGGACAATCTGACCGAGTGTCCCAGTGTCCCCAGTGTCCACTGAGACACAATGTTCAGATTAAACAAATCATTGCAGTGAAAGAAACCTCGCCATGAGCCCCCTTCAAAATCCTCCCATGGCTTCCAACACAAGCATCCCATCATCCTCGTCACGTCCTGCAGCTGCTCTGGAGTCTTCTTTCTTGAGGGTCTTTAGCTGTGCTGTGCTGGCTGCCTCAGGATCCTGAATGAATGCAAACCATTTGGGGAGGAGCTGGAAGTCACATGGTGCCAGATCGGGTGAATGAGGTGGACAACGACCCAGTGTCTGGGTTTCATGCATCCGTTTTCCTGTTGGATGGCGCTCGGTGGTAATAGTCACTGCATTTTTGATCACAGGTAAAGACCCTCAGGAAAGAGTGCTCCTGCCTGCCTTCCTGCCCAGAGTTGGGACAACCCTAAGCCAAAGGTGCCCGGCCAGTGGTCACTGCAGGTTTTACCTGCTGTCGGGGGAGAGGTCAAGGACGTGCAGCAGGTGGTTTCAGTCACAGCAAGTGGGAACCACCTATGTGGCTCCCTTTCGTGCTGACCAATCAGGGAGTCAGCTGATGGAGTGGGGAGAGCAAGAATGCCACCACCCCACCGTGGGCACCCCTGGGCTGTGGACCCCACCCAAGGCCATGGCTTTGGAGGCAACCGTATCACTGCCACAAGAGCAATGGGACACTGCCCAGGAAGTGACCCGGAAACTCTCCTGACTGTAGGCATGGGGTGCATCCAAATGTGATGTTGGAAACAGCTGGCACGGCAGAAAATCCCTGCCTCGCTGCTCCTGGGCTGGGCCACTGGGCTCCCTAGATCCCTGCCTCACCTCCTCAGGAATGCTCCCCACATGAGCTGAGTATTTTAGATCTTGGAGCCCAGGTCAGAGAAACCCAGACGGTGCTCCCTGTTCAGGTTTCAGGGTCTTCCAGGTTGAGAGCACCCCAAGCCACCTTCCAAGTTGCAGGATGGGGACTCCTAGCCTGGGCTCTGGTGTCACAGCTCCCTGGCTACCCCCCCCCCCGACCTCCCAGAGCTACAACCTCCAGTTTTGTCACCACACCCTAGGAGCCTCCACGTAGCTGGCAGCTCTTCCCCCAGGGAAACCTGGGCTTCAACGTTTGGCAAATGTAGCTTAAGAGGTTTTTATGGTTGATACATTGTATCAACTTCAGAAAGTAAATATCCTTATCCCCTGCAAGAGGAGGGCACAGAGATTGAGTGCTACACCTGCCCTGTGCAGGCTGGGGGGATAGTGGGGTGCAGGCTGGGGGGATTGTGGGGTTCCTGCATGCAATATAAGGGAGAAGAGACTTGCTCTTTCCACTTTTTGCTCTGGCTGCTGCCTTTAAGTGTTGCCCCTTGCCACAACACCCTGCCTTGGAGCCAGCTGATCATGGACTGAAACCTCCACAAACTGTAAGCTAAATAAACCTTTTCTTCTTTCATTTTGAGTGTTGGTTCTTTTGTCCCAGCAACAAGAGAAAAGTAGCCAAGACAGAGATAAAGTTATGGGAAGGTCAGAGCCACTGCCTCCATCCTGGTGAGGCTTCCTGCAGGGCTTGGCTCTCATACCCTCTCTGCCCCCACCACTGCCTGGGCTCCCGTTGGCACCACGTGGAGCTACGCGGTGCTCTGGTGGAGCCCTGGGACGCTGAGGGCCTGGATGGGGACACCACACAGCGCCACACACACCAGTGTGGCCAGCCAATCACGGCACACACACACACACACACACACACACACACACACACACACACGAGGAGACTGCCGATGCCCGCTGGCTATTGGAGCAGCCCCAGCTCCTCTTAGCAAGATGTCACAGGGCACAGCTGGGGTTTCCTGCTTCCCGGGAGCAGCAGGCTCCAGCTTCTTGGGTCTGGCTGGGAGGAAGCAGTGCTTTGCCCTCAGGGTCTGGCTTTGCAAATCCACAGGCGCTCATTCAAAGCCTGGCGCACACCTTCAGAAAGGCAGCAGAAACACCTCCCAATCAGCCTGGATCCCGGAACGCGAGCAGCACCCCACCCCACCCCCCAGCCAGGGGCTTCAGGAGGCTTAGGAGAGCTGGCGGGGACCAGTGGCATCTACCCAGGCATTTCCTCAATTTCCCCAATCTGTGCACGGTGCCCTTAGGCGGCTCTGCTTCCCTCTTCGCAGCGCCAGAGCCTCGCGCGTCCGGATGGGGGCGCCAGGGCCCTGCGCGGGCTGGGCCGGGCACCATGCACTCGGCTGCCAGGCTCCTCCCCGCATGGTCTATTCCGCACCCATGACTCTTGGACCACCGCCTAGCTCCCACCAGGGGGCGCTCGGGAGGCCCCGGGGACCTCGGCCCGCGGGCTGCCTGGTCTCCCTGCAGAGGAGTCCAAGCTGGAGGTGCTGGCTTCAAGGCGCTGTCCTGGACAGTGGGCACTGACCGAGCCTGACTGTTAGCCTGGGGCACTTCAGGGACCCCAACCCGCCTGTCACTGCCGTGTTCCGCTCAGCTCTGCTGACAGGAAGGCTACAGGTTAGCCTGTCTAGGAACTGGGAATTTCCACCTTCATATCAGAGGGTACCCCAGGTATTGTTCCAGGCACAGATGAAATCGCCCTTGGCTGGAAATTTAGACCCCAAACAGCCTGAATAACAGTTAGCCCAGCCAGGTGTGGTGGTGGATGCCTGCAATCCCAGCACTCTAGGGAGATGAGGCAGGAGGATCACGAATTCCAACCTAGCCTGTACAATTAATTTAGTGACTCAACAAGACCTTGCCTAAAAAGAAAAAAAGAAGAGAAAGCAGAGGAGGAGGAGGAGGAGGAGGAGGAGGAGGAGGAGGAGGAGGAGGAAGAGGAGGAGAAGGAAGAGGAAGAAAACCACCTGAGGATGTAACTCAGTGCAAAGGCTCTGGGTTCAATCCACAGTACAATAAAGCCCAAGATAAAAACAAAAGCAAGCAGTAAATGAGGGCTAGCAGTAAGTGTGGGCTCATCATACACATTCAGCCTGTTTTTCTTTCTTTCTTTTTTTCTTTCCTTCCTTCCTTCTTACTTTGAGACAGGGTGTCATGGTGCAGTTGAGGCTGGCTTTGAACTCACTTATGTAGCTCAAACTACATGGCCTCAAACTCACAGCAATCCTCCTACCTCAGCCTCCGGACTGCTGGGAATATAGGTGTGCACCACCACGCCCGGCTTCCTTAAATATTTCTAAACCCTACAAGCGCCCCCAGTCAGCTCCAGGTAGGAGGAAGTCACAGGATTTGGGAGAGTTAAGGACCACGCCTAGGCTTCTGGGACTACCTGAGGGAGGAGGGTGCTCTGAGCCCAGGGCGGGCTAGAGGGTGCCAGGCCCTAGTCCTGCCCACAGGCAACCAGGAACCTAAAGATACAAAGGCAAATGTGGCAATAACTGAGCAGCGCTCCCAGCTGCAAGCTTTCTGGTGCCTGCAGGAATCAGAAGGGACGGGTGCCCCTCCAGCCCTCACAGGATCACCTGACGGTGTGGCTGGCACTGGAGCCTCGGATCCTGAGCTCCCTGGAACTGAGGTGTAGGGGCTGGGGCTGTGCCTCTGTGGGCTCCACGGCGTTGTGACATCTGTCGGGGGAGGGGCACCGAGGTTCACTGGGCCAGGTCATTGATAAAAGCACAGAGTGCCAGGAAAAGGGCAGTGCTTGGGAGCCGCCTCAGGGCTCGTTTTCCAGACGCTCTGGCAGACTCATGGGTGAATCAGGCCTGAGTTTCACTCCCCAAATCTCCACCCTCCAGCCTTCCGCAGCTGGCAGGGGT